GCATATAAGAAAGAAAACCCACCAAACAAAAAAGCCACCCACAACCACCAGGACAGCAGGGTATTTTGTCATCTTTCTGTGCTCTTAGCTTCACAGTCCTAAGTACGGCAATCCAGAACATCAATGCTAACACAAAAAGGTTTTAAACATAAACTTTTTTTCTCCCCTTGAGATCTCCTTAAACAAAGTTTACCATTTAGAGAATGGAAAGGAGAAACAGTCTTACAGTCTTCCTCTGCAAATAATTCTAAAATTCTTAAGATGATTATTTATTGTTAAATTTGGTCTCTATTTTCGTAATGGAAATCTAAGCAGCAGCATAGGGCAAACAAATCATCAGAAGATTATTTTGAATTCATACCTTTTTTGATTGCTCCGTTGTAATAAAAGAAGGGATCATTGATTTCCTCAAGGTGTATTTGTCATGCCACAACCGATCAGTTTTCACTGTAGGATCTGAAGCTACAAAAAACTGTAGATTGAAATAAATATTAAAAACAAAAGATAAATGTAAACTCTCTCCCCTAGTGTTTCACTTCTGTATTCAGAAAACTTTAAAAATATTCTGAGTTGTTCTTTTAACTAAAAAAGAAAAAAAAAATTTTTTTTCATAGCTAACATACAGAGTTGTCCTGGCAATTAATATGGAAATTGTATGTTGACCAACATGAACTCTGAAGAAAAAAGTTAAAGAACAGCTCACATAATTTAATGTCCTCTGTACATTATGAAACCTTGACCACCTCAGGGTAAAGCAAAGCATACTATCTGTAAAACATCCACTATGAAACACAGAAGCGTACTGCATTTGCCAGTAATTATACAGTTAGGGTAGGAGACAAAGTTCAGCATATAATATATATATATAAAATATGCTTTTATTTTACTGGTTGTATTTTTACTGAATCCTGTTTGGATTTCCTCCTACTTTAACAGAGGCAGAATTGCATAAAAAAACCAAAAACAAAACCAAGAAATACTGCGATTGAACTGGTGATCAAACGCTAAGATGTCTCAACTCCACGCAGGAGAATACTTTAATTTGTAAGAAACTAAAACCACGTGACTAGTTTTGTTAAAATGACTTGTGGATGGATTCTGTCCTCATCCTGTCAAACAAGAGATCCATTTTTTGGACAAGAACTTTTTTCACTGCCTCCAAATACGATTTCCACCAAGAATGGCCAATTGTCTTTGTTCAAAAACTGTGACTATGGTATGAAAATTGTAGCTTTCAGTACACCACATCCAACACTGATTTTCAGTACTAAGAACACTCTTACAGCGCACATGTAAATTTTTAAACAAAGAGTTGAAAGCTAATGAATGATATAAAACCCAAAAAAGACACCACCTCACATGTCTGAGGAGTAGCTGGAAAAAAAGGTAAAGTCTATTTTACATTTCTAGCCATAAAGATTCATAGACATTTCACACAAGCCTCCTAATGCTGACCTTAAAGATCAGCTGTGGGTGAGATCTGTACTCATTTTAATTTTGACCCAGGTGGACAGTTTCAGAAATCAGGCAGCATATTTCACACTCAAGTAAAGTTACTCAGATGTGTCTCAGAAGTGCTCAATTCAGTTTTAAAAATGATTTTTTGGCTTCTTGAAACAAAAAAAAGTAGTCACTTTAACAAGACTGTACTGATTAGAGACAGGAAAAAGAGTTGGGAGAGCTTAAAAAGGCATGAAAACATTTCTAAGAAGAAAAGGGACTGTTACTAGAACTTGCCGTTACAGAAGTCGGAACAAAAACTCTATAGAATTTCTAGAGGAACTCTGGAACCATAAATCTCTTCTACCCAGTTTGACAAACCGAAGTTATTTATGAAGCTGAGGGTAACCGTAGGTAGTCAGAGTAGAATATCCTGACCTTTATTCCAAATACAAGGCTTGCATTCTAAACAGTCACAAAGAACTCTGCTCACATTACTATTGCTACACTAAGCAAGAAAAGATAGAGATGACTTTGTCTCTCTTCAGAAGCAAGCATCTATTGTTAGTCCACCATTCTGCCTCTACTAAACAGACCCAGGATATGATTAATTGCAGATAATGTACTGCATCATTGCAACCTCCAGACATCACACTGACTGAATCCATGAAGACAGTCACATTTCATGTTGTTATTGTATATATTACTTATATTTTTTTCCATCACAGTCTACTTTTCAAATTCCCCTCTAAGCTTCCCACAGATTATACTCCCACAAAGCAAATGAACAGAGACAAAATATTTATTGTACCACATACATTACCTCATGGTATGTATCCTCCAGCTCTCCATCATAAATCCAGCGATAAAGGAAATTCAGTACAGGATGGGATACTAGGCCAAGAATGTGCTGAACCAGAGATCTCATGTAGGGATCTCCTGTTTTAGTATAGGCATGAACTGCTGAGGCTAGTTCACCACCTTTCCTCCCTGTAAGATCATAGGGGAAAGGAACAGAAATGTATGAAGGAAAAATATATACACCACACTTAAATTCAGCAGCCACTGATATTAGCTAGTCATATATCACTCAAGAGCTTGCTGAACAGCAATTCTAAAATGTAGCAAAAGTACATTTTTTTTTAATGTTGACAGGGAATTCCTAGGCTTAAGGCATGAATCATTAACCTCACTGAAGCATTAAGCAGTTATCTGACACTGTATTCTGTCTACTTTATGGTAGCTTGGAGGAATGCAAATTTCAAGGCATCAGATCACGCACAAAGGTTGACTTGTGGCTTCTTTTCTTAACCACCACCCCTACGAGAACAGCATTAAAGGAGCTTTAGTATGTTTTCCTTCTCTCCTGTACTTGACTCTCTCTCAGATGTTCTGTGTGCATACATGCACACAAACACATCTTTCCTGCTTCTTGGTTATAGAATAGTTCCTCCATAGCTCCTTTAGGTAGTATCTCCTGTCTTTTTGCAATTGAAAGGTAAGAGGCTGTCAAAAAAAAATTACAAAAATAGAACTAGTACTTGTTTTGCTGTTATGCTGCATAATTTAACGGTTCCTTGCAGCACAGGCTGTAGCATTCAAAATTTTCATGAATGTCTTAAAAGTAAAGTCCACTTTTTTTTTCAAAATTGTTACCAATTCCGATAATCAAGGTAAAACAGATGTTGTAAGCTTTTTTGGTTAAAATGCTCTTTCCAAAGGGCCACAATCTCCACTTATTTTCAAAGACAGCAAAGCTGAAGTACCCTTAGGGAGAAGCATAGCCTATGGGTGTTACTGGCCAAAGTTTTGGTCAACTCCGTCTTACACCACTCCTCAGCATTTTCTTGTGGATTGCCAACACAGCCACGCACTATCTGCAGATTTGTAAAGTTTCGTTGTTTCACATGAATCTGCAGACAAGTTGCAAATGACTCCTACATGCCATCATATATACAGGAATAGCATAATACTCATACATAATGAAGAGACTAAGCCAACCATTTCAGTGTATTAGTGAGTTTTTTCACAGTGTAACATTCTCTGAAAGATGACTAAAATTTAATAATTGAAAACAGCACAAAAAGTGTGTGCTTAAAATTTGAAGGATTTCTTAAGCATGTTCTAGTTTTTAAAAAAAAGTGAGAAAGTGTAAGTATATCAAAACAGAACTACAATTGGTCAGGTTTTTTGCTTAAACTAAAAGAATCCTCTGGATTAGCTACTTAAAATTTTCTAAAAAAACATAACAGTAATATTATTGATATCCACCTTTGGCATGCACAACCACCCAAAGTTACATAACTACCCCATAAATATTACATTCATGTTAAACAGACCTTGACAATGATCAACAAGTGCTGCAAGGGTCTTTAACCTTATTTTAGGATCATATGTCCAGACTAGAAGACGGCGAAGTGTTAAACTGCTCTCAAGTCCCAAATTCACGCCCTGATCATCTTCCAATTGCAACTGATCAAATTGGAAACAGAAAGACATATCAAGAAGCAAAACTGGCAAAACTGAAGCAGACATGATGTTTCACAGTTTTTGTTCTGAAGCTAGGTTTTTACTAATACACTTGAAATACCCAGTATTCTATGTTCTCTCATTAAATCATGGGGCCAAAACCTGAGAGCCATACAAGTGGAAATAGAGAATCAAGTGCAGGTGAAAGGACAGAGACAAGCAGAAGTGTAAATAGGGCAGACAGAGCACAAAGGCCAAGAAAGTTAAAGAAAGCAAGATGATAGATAGTTAGCCACAAAAGGAGAGAGAAGAGCAAAGGAAAACAGAGCACAGATCCTGAAAGACAGCAAATACTGGCCAAAGAGATGCTCAGAAAAGAGTAAAGAAAAACATCTAAAGGAAAGAAAGGGTGTAGGAGGCAAATTTTTTATTACTGCACAGCCAGCTTATTTTAGTTCAACATGGGACAAATTCTGTTCAATGTCTTCCTCTAGAAGCCATCAGAACTTAAGTTAGGTATATAGCGAGCATAAGGAATTGTTACCATTGAAAAAAATATTAAAAGCTATGATAAGAAAAATCTGTCACAATGTGACTACCATGAATCTTCCAACACCATGGAAAATGAAAGCCAAATATTTGCATCTAAGATGCAAATCTCATACAAGTAGAGATGGCATAAGCAGGACAAGAACACAACCTAAGAATGCAGAAGCAAGTTCCTAGAGCAGTCCAAGCAGATAAACTCTTAGAAAAGATGCTCTGTTTCTTCCTGCTGATGCCAAGTTTGGCACTGAAGAAGCATGCATTACATTAGCTTTCCTCCACATAAAAGATTTTGTACTTCCCACACTGGGGCTCCCCAGCACCTTTTTGCTTACACACTCTGTTTCATGCTGCTCCTTGCCATGGACAGAGCATCCAGAGTACCAACTCTAGCAAGCTTTCATTGAAAGACTGGAAGTTTTCACTCTGCCTTATCTTCTCATCAACATCAACTAAAATGAGTGCCAGCACCTATGTTTGGGTGCACACTACTGACCCTTCTCCATCCTGCAATGTGACCTTGTGCTTCCTGCCTTCAAGTCACAAGAGAATCTCTCTCTCCTCCACTGTTGGGTCTCCTTTCACAACCTGTGGGAAGGAATCTTGCCAGGGGCTTCCTGAAAATCCTCTGGGATCCCCTTCAGTCAGGTGCCGAGGGACATCCCCAGAAACTCCAGTCTGCTAGTGCAGCAAAACTTCACATTACAGACACTGTATTGACTGTTCCCTACCAGAATGCATTTAATCGATGTGATCAACATGCTCATGAACTCTAACACTGGAGATTAATCTGGCAAGGAACATGAAGAGCAACAACAAAAGCAGCAAAAGGAAGACTGGGGAAAATGTGGGTCCAACTACTGAACAGTGCTAGGAAAGTGGTGACAGGAAAAATGGAAAATACTGAGGTACTCAATGCCTTCTGTGCCTTGTTTTTTCGGCAAGATTTGCCATTGGGAATACCAGATGTCACCTGAGATCAGAGGGGAAGTCTGGAACAAGGGAGACTTACTCAGAGTGAAGAAAGATCAGGTTAGGAAACATTAAACAAACTGGATATACCTAAGTCTATGAGACCTGATGGGATGCACTCACAAGTGCTGAAGGAGCCGGCCAATGTCACTGCAAGGCCACTCTCTATTATCTTTGCAACATCATAGCAATCAGAGGAGGTTCCTGACGACCAAAAGAAAGCAAATGTCTCTTCAAGAAGGAGTATCCGTCAGACTACACACCAGAGAGACTCACCTCATTCCCTGGGATGCTGACAGAGCAACTAATCCTGGAAACCATTTCCAAACACATGGAGGACAAAGAGCTCTTCTCAGAAAGAAAAGCTCAGGGAGAGAAGGAGGAAGGGGGGACATTTGTGGTGATGGAGTTTGTCTTCCCAAGCAAGTGTTAAGTGGCTGAGGCCCTGCTTGCCAGAAAGTGGCTGGACATCTGCCTGCTGATGGGAAGTAGTGAATTAATTCCTTATTTTGCTTGCATGCACAGCTTTTGCTTTCTCTATTAAACTGTCACTAACTTGATTGACTTGTCTTTTTGCCTTCCTTCTATTTTCTCCCCATTCCCCAAGAGACAGGGGTAAGCATTTGGCTGCTGGCCAGGGTCAACCCACCACAAAGGCAAATGCAGTTTGAAAATAAGTGATGCCAGAACTTTACTTTCAGTTTCCCTTTACATGCTTCCCCTTCCACCACACTCATTTCTTCTTTTGAAATGTTTAGTGGAGCAGGAAAGGTAGAGGAAGCTGCATTTCAAAGTCATAAATATTTTCATGGTCAAGAAGTTTTAGAAGTTAGAATAAATCAAAGCTCCAGAAAACCAAGAGATCAAACATATTTTGGACAGAGCAGGAAATAACTACAAAATGAGTAACTGCATGGTAGCAAGGAAAAACAAGCAAAAAGCATGTATGACAGGCATTCCAAAGGTCAGGAGTGTTAAAGAACTGCAAGTGAGTCAAAAGGAATAGATCCTTTGAAAATGTTTACAGAAGACTATGACTTAAACTACAGATTTTTTTAAATCGGATTTTTAAATGGAATTTTAATTTAACTTTAGGTCAATTACCAGAATAAATTTTTCTTGATTATAAATAAGGAACTCATTGAAAGTCCCATATAAAAAAAAAGTAAGCAGAAGAAAAAAAAAATTCTAATGTTTATTTTAGATGTAGCATCTAGGTGCACATACTTGTGTAAATATTTGTGGACAAACTGCAAGATTATCAGCACTGGGACGGTCTATACATCAGAGAAAAATAATAACACACCAAAACATCTTACTCTCTCAATCCAACAGAAGGGACAAGGGAAATGCACAAACTGCCCCAGACAGAACAAAACATTGGAACTGTTGTTACTAGTTGCTGAACCATGCATTGCTTGAAATACAGAAAGACTTTTTTTCTCCCTTCAAAGATGTGCCATGCTGTTTGGGATTTGAGTGATAAAGATATCACACAAGATGAAACTGACAAAAATGATGCAAAAAAGGGACAGAGGCTTAGAAATACACATTATATCCCTTCCTTACGTAATCCATCAAATAACAGTGAATTTCTAAGAGAAAAATATTCATTGGTCCATATATCCAAAGAGTAAGAAATGTACACAGGGAATTGTGTCTACTGTCAATAGAAACTGCTATACATCCTTCCCTTTCCAAAGGGATGCCTAGGTAGACCTTTTCGAAGATATTCAGATAACGTAAAGCAAAATAAGAAAGTTAAATACAAACCACTTAACTTACCTGGGAATGTAAGACAGACAGAAGTCGGTAGTATTCTTTAAGTTCCTGATGTAAAGCTGCACAAAAACTCTGTAAGAGGAAAAAAAGAAAAGAAAAAAGAAAAAAAAAAATCAGGAAAAATCTTTCTGGTTTAATCTAGAGTAACTTTTATCCTATCACCACACCATGAAGGTTGTTAGAAATTTCCTAAAAGGAATCAAGCTACAAGTTTCAGCGCAAAAGCCAACTCTTAGAAAACTGGCCAACATGTAAGTGCTTGCCTAAGAGATGCACAGACCTTTTCTAAGAATATATACATATTGTCAAGCTACTTTCTGTTTCTTGCTGCAACTTTCTGTTTCTTGCTGCCTTAATTCTATCAACAGATTAAACTATGACAACCACAACTCTCCAAATAGATGTATCATCTCAATAAATATATTAATAATTACCATAGGGATGTGCAAATCATAACATGATCCAAAAGAAATTTTCTTTAATAATTACATAAAATACAGTATGCAGTGAAGTAACAGAGTTTCAGTTTCAGG